CGATTATTGAGATTCATGTTGGTTGCCTTCAAAGTTAATTTTTGAAAAACGTGTGTTCTATCCCATCTAAATCGACGTGTGGGCGGAAATTGTACGGTTGATCCAATTGTTCCCCTGTCAATCAGTTAAGTCCAAGCCTTGAAGCCGGATAGCCGACAAAAATTGTTTGCGGACAGCCGGTTTTTTTTTTAATTTCCCGGATAGCTGAAAAAAATGTTCCCTGATTTTTATATATTATTGTTTCAAAAATCTCCGAATAGTCGAAACTGTATGTGGATAGCCACAATTTATTTTGCGGATAGCCACGAAAAGAACGCAGTTTGAAAGATGAAATTATTTCGATCCATAAATTTTTGGTCTCATCTGATTTCATGGCTCATTTGGAATGCTTTAAAGTTAACTTTAGTTTTTGGTATTGTGAAACTTTTTTCATCCATAATTAAACATTGGTAGTGGATTTTTTGCTGTCCTTCACATTGATGGACCTAGTGATATAAATGTCATCAGGAGTGTGCAATCTACATTCACCAAATAGATTGTTTCTGTCAGCTGAGTATGCTCTTTAACTATTTATGCGGTTGCTGTCACCCGACGCATAAAATCAGTAGATCAAATTAAAAGTGGTAAACAGATTCGGCTAAAAGCTTCTCCAGAAAACTCATTTTTCTAAGTTTGCATTTTTTCTCACGAAAAAAGTCTTAAATTTACAATTCCTCAACATGAAGTACAATTCATCAATGAAACACATTTCCTCAACATCAAAATATATTGACCAGCAAGTTAAAAAGTAGTATCAAAAATAGTCGAGAAAGTTCAGTTTCTATTAAAACGGTTTTAAGGTTTTTGGCATTCAGCAGGATTTTGCAATGTCCTGGAGAGAAAAAAATCGATCTTCAAAAATGAGGAGTTTTGGGTCTAAAAAGAAGTCGGTACAAAGTGATCGGTTGTGGAGTGAAGTCTTTATGCGAAGTTCGCTCCGAACTGAAACAGATCAGAAGCTTCATCAACTTGTAAGTTGAACATCGCTCGGTTGCCCATGCTCTTAGACCTTAAAAGGAGCAGAACTTCCCATTCCAGCCTGCCTTCTCTAAAGCTGTCAATGGCTAAATTTGAAAAATCAATTTGTAAACGATTAGGTGATTTAAATTTAAAAAATCTTTCCAAACCAACTAGACAAAGCTGCAAAATTGAACATTTAAACAACACTTGACATTTACATTATGCCCATAGGTCACTGAAGTCAACTTTCTTTTTGCAGATGGGGTAAGTGGTGCTGAAGTTTTTGATGCAAGAATTGCATATCTGGATGTATGAATGACCGGGCAATTTTGCTCAGGGCCACATTTTTTGTCAACTCTTTGCTGATATCACAAATACTGTAGTGAGACATCATGACTAGAGCAAGTTTTTTGCACAACAGCCATAAATTAGAGCCGTACTGCAAGAGTGAACTTTTCATGTGTTTGTTGCACTCGATACAAACGTAGTGAGATGGTCGCGGGAGAACTGTCTGATTTTGCTTCATGAATTTATTGTTCTTCTAGGCAGGCAGGGTATTCCTTCCTAGGTGGCTCAATGATCAACAGCTTGAACTGCTTTTCAGATCTTTCGATAAAAAAAATATTCAAGGTTGCTCCCATCTTGAAACAGGTTTTTGACTGCTTTTATTTGACTTTTAATGGCGTTGATCTGCTCATCAGTTTTGGTAAAATTTCATTATCCGTTCGGAGCCTAAATTTTCGCCAACTTCGCAAATGAAATTTTCCCAGTCGGCCTTATTCAGGTTGGTAAAAGTCTTGTTGGCTGATAGAAGAAGAGCCGCGTTGGAAGCAATTTGTATGAATATTGGCAGATGGTCTGAGCTAAGCGTAGTCTGGGGTTCACAATAGCGATACAATACAAGCGATTGAGCGGCGATAATTATCTCAGAAGAGAAGTTTTGTTGAGATATCATCGAGCGAGTTTTGACTTCAGTATTAAAAAGGGCATAGGGAGAGACAGTTATGTCATCTGCGAGGAGGACACTGCACTCGTCTAGGGGAGATGGAAATTCCCATGGGGGCTGTGGTCGTTTATGTCTCCGATTCTTAGTCCATCAGAGTAGCTGAGTTAGTCTTAAAGTGATGCGGCAAAGAGATTGGTCTTATTAGATGCATCTGAGATCTCATAAAATAGTTTCAGATCGAGTACACTGTCTGTTCGTCGCCGTCTTTAGAATTTTACCGGATATGTTTGTGAAACGGTGGGTGTTCACAATTACCTAAATAAAAAAGTCCCGTTGTTACCAAAATCGAAAACAGTTGTGTTACTATCAATTACTGTTCAATTAGTCCAAGACTACCAAGCCGACTTATTCGATTTAAGGTAGCTGATGGTCGCGCTACCTGTGGGTCGCTTGTGGCGATAACTGGTTCTAATTTTTATATGTATCCGACCCTCTGTTGGCAAGCTCGCAACACGTTGGCGCGACTGCACGATTCTTAGGGTGTTTGATTTTATGCTGTTTGAACAGAACTGAATTGGTGACTATTCAGTGGCCCGAAAATTGACCAGATTCGAGTTGAATTGTTTTGGTAGAAACGCGACTGGAAACCAATGTAGATTTTTTAGATCAAAAAAAGAAGCGCTCGATCAGAGTTATCTTAAGAGCAGGTAAATACCAATCAATCCAAAATCAAAGACTGAAAAATAAGTTGTTTTTTTTTGCGAAAGAGCTCCATTTGTATGAACTAGTGAAAACAGTGTCAAATGTTTTTGCTCAAGAAGTGAAAGCCCTATTCAAATTTTGAACAATCTCATTACGGAAAATAGTGAATAAACTTCCAGAGCATACAAAAACCCAAATGAGTCAATTGTTCTTAGGCTAAGAAAATTGTTAAACATTATCCTAAATTATTATCCTAATTTTCTCGAAAACTTAAAAACTTTTCTCGGAAACATAAAAATCCTTCTGTCCACAAAATAAATTTATTCAATCGTATTTTTTCAGACTGCTACATCCTGGATAGCGAAGACAGACCTCTTAAGAAAATTTTTCTATTAGTTAAGGAAGCTCCATGAGTCTTGTTTGTCTTTTTTCTTGTAAAGTTTCCTATCCTCATTTATTGGCGATAACCAATATAAATTAATCAAAGTAGTCGCATGATTTGATTTCAAGTATTAAGAATTTATTTCTCACCCAGTATCAATAACTTACTAAATGAATTTCGCTCTGAGACACCTGTGAACGGACATGTAGGTCCAATAGTGCTCTCCTAGGCAGTAAAATTGTTGGTGTGTTTTGTAAATTTATTAATTAACCACAATGGAATTGCCTGAAAACAAGTTATTTTTATTATTATTTTTTCGGTACAACTGAACGTTGGTAAAGAAAGTAAGAAAAAACTTATTTCTCCTGTAAAAAAAATTGAATCAAGTCATAAATTATACAACAAAATCTGGAGACGACAGACAGCGGGATCATGGGATCCAACAAACTTCTGTTCTTATACTGCAAGTAAATATAATTCAAACAACAAAAAACTAAAATAACAAATTTTAACTAAATTTTTTATTACTTCTGAAAGACATTCTAACGAGTTAAATTTCGTCAATTGACAAGCAGATCGAAAACCTGTTATCATCATTATCATACCCATACTAATCAGCCAGCACAATAATGTCATTAAACACAAATCAAAGAAAATTTTTCTTTCAACCAATAAATTAAAGTTTGAAAAACACAGACAAGAAACAACAGAAATTACATTTTCACTTTCACTGCACATTGCCCATTTGAAGTGAATGGACTACATTGTGCTGAGATAAAAACCAACAAAAAAAATGTTTGTCGTTGTTTGTTTGTCGCACAAATGGTGCTTCAGCCGTGCAACTTTTTATTTTAATGCTGGTCTTAATGCTACTTTGATTTCCGTAGTTTCAATATAACTAGACGAATACCCGAGAAGCGAGGTTGGAGAAATCAACTTTCTTCTGATATCTCTAAAATTGGTCTTACAAAATCTATCGTTGATCGAAAACGAATAAAGGATGTAACAAATCAGCAGCTATTGTGGCGCTCATTGGTTGTTGTTCCGACCATTGAAAATGGGCAGAAACTTTGTATCCGGGTGCGTTTTAGCTTTTTTCTTTTTTTTCCACGCAAAATCAGGTATTACAAATAATCATTGGACTGGGTTGAGTGATATATCATTTTAAAGCCCTTTCAGTCGTGATTCGACTCAAAGTTAAAATTTCCCGAAACTTTTTTTGGCATCGCGAAAACTGGTTTGAAATTTTTTGATTTCGAGCGACGAAAGCCAGGTATCACGCTTATTTATGCTTAATTTCGGCCGTGTATAATAGCGTATTTCATTTTTACTCGAGTAAAATCAGTTTTTGGAGATTTTACTGCCATTTAGGCAATCAAAAATTTAAATTTCTGCAAAAAAAAATTTAAAAAAAGTATTTTCATTTAATTTTTTTTCTTTATGATTTTTTATTGTTTTTCTAGTCATTTTTCTTCAAAATTTTTTCTTCTGTTTGCCTTTAGTACAGTGATTGTCGAATATGCCCAAATTAAAGTTATACGTCGGATCCTTTTAGCACACCACGCAGAAAAAAAACTTCACTAATTTGAAAAAAAAACTTCTTTTTTTTTTGTTTTTTTTAAAGACTATGACTATGAGGGGCGGATCTAGGATTTTCTCGAGGGCTGGAGCAGATTTTCAAAAAGTTTTTGAAAATTTTGCCGACCATTTTTTTTGAATAGCATCTTCTTATTTATTATCCAATGATGGCAGTTCAACTTGAGTTTTTGTCTTCAGCGGCTCACGACATCTGCGGATACCAAGGCAGTGAGGGGCAAGGAGGTGGAGAGGGAAAAGACAATGTGCTGAGTGTGAACAAATGGGACCAGGGATGTTCGCTAATAAGATATAATAATTTTTTTGAATAATTTTTTTCTATCAAATTGATTATTGGTAACCTGCAAAACTTGTTTGATGAATCGCCCTTTTTTCATGATTTCTGGGGTCATTCTAAGGGCTAGGAACATTTTTCATTTTGTACCCTTACGAGAGAATTTTAGAGCTTGATTTTGATAAGGTTGTTGGAATTGAAAGAAAGAATTTAATTCTCCAGTCACTAATTTCACATAACAAAATTTTAAATTAGTAAAGTGTGATTCTGAGAAGACCAAGTAGTCCTTTGACCTCTATCCTTTTTGCTCTGGTATTTAGCCTACGTATGGAATTTTTTTTTAAGAAAAAAAAAGTTTTTAAAAATTGTACAATTGTACCCTACTTCATTTGTGGTAACTAAATAAATAGGTTGATCTAAGCAGAGCTCATGTTTTGAACATCCTTGGCTGTGACCTCAGATTGAGGTATGCTACGAGTATGTGCGGGTGGGGGTGGAAGAGGGAGTGGAGTGGGGCGAGGCGGAGGGGGATGAACCAGTGTGGTACTATGGACATGTGTCTTCATCGCCACTCAACGCATTTCCAAAAGTGCCACTCATGGTAAGAAAAAAAGCCAAACAATTGCAGCTGTTCTCCGTAAAGAGCCGAACAGCTGGTCGGTATGTTGGCCCTTCTTTGGTTTGACGAAAAATCATTGTTGGCAATAGTGAATCTTGCATTGAACAGTTTCGGTTTCGAACAATTACAAAAACCCAACTTATAACATCCTTTGATACAATTTAAAACCTCTAGAAACATTCTTCTTAGCATGGGGGCCCGTACTTAGAAGATTGTTTTTTTTCTTCAAAAATTCACAGGCAGTGGAAATTTTTTTGGCAAAATAGGGCTTACTAGTGTTTCGAGAGAGCTCGTAAAATCATTTCGGTCAACTAAACAAAAGGGTTATCAAAATTGTTGAAAATGTTCTAGGTTGCAGGTGAGCTGCTACATTTTTCTGGCTTTCAGTTTTTCTGCTTTGATGTTTTTTTAGACTTATATAAATAGATGTTCATTTTCATTTGTGTTCCAGGGTCTGATCCCTGTGTCGCACGTCACCCACGTCATTCCAAGGTTAGTCTACCAATTTTTTCGGTACTAATATGAATTTAGGTGCACAAATAGCACACACGCTTTTTTAATAATAGTTTCGATGTACCAACAAAACTTGAATTAAGTTAATTGAGAAAATTCAGAAAAGAATTTTTGTTTGTTTTGGCCGGCGAGCATCCGAGATTGAGGGGGAGTTGATATTTGTTTTCGAGTCTTTGCCATCCATTCAACTCTTCGGTACTTACAGCGAACCAGCCAAAAATAAAACCAAGGGACTTGAACATAATCAAAGTAAATTGGTTAAGCTCTGTACTACGTAGACAATAAAAATTGAAGAACAGTTGATGAACTGTCAAATCCTTTATTCAACGTCTTTAACGAGCTGCAATTACGGGAAAGTAAACGTATATTCAAGGCCAGATCTGTTTTTCTCGAGTGAGGGTCGATGCTCAAATATTTTCGAAGTTTATTGACCTTTTTTTTAGGTTGACCATATTCAGGGGCGGATTTAGGGGGGGGGGGGGGGGGGTGCGGACGCCCCCCCTTAGGGATTCGACCCCCTGCCGACACAAAGGGTCCCCCCTTTGATGCTTTTTCAGAAATCCATTTTTGGCCGACCGACCCTAAAATTTTTCTAAAGGCGCCTTTGGCGCCAATATATACTAACTTTGAGGGGGAGCGCGCGCCAAAAAAAACGCGATTTTTTTGTCAAATTTTTTCTAAAAGTGCCCAAAAACGGCTTTTTTGACTGTTTTTTCAAAAATTTGCCTGCGGCGCAGTAAATTTTGCCAAAATAGGGGGAAAACAGGGGGTGCTTTGAGAGAGCTCGAAATAGGGGGTGCTTTGGGAGAGCTCGAAAAATCAATTTGGTCGACCTAAAAAAAAAAAAAGGTCGTCAAAATTTTCGAATTTTTTTGAAAGTCCGCCCCCCCTCGAGAAAATCCTAGATCCGCCCCTGACCATATAATTTTTAAATGTCACAAATACGCCTTATTTTAATTTTTTTTTTTCAAAGAAAATGAAAATTTTTATGCTTGGGTGTTTTTTTCATTGAAACCACTTTCTAAAAAAAGTACTTGAGTGGGAATCGAGTCGAACCGGAATCAAGGCAATATCCCAAATACGTAAATTGTTCTTTTAAAACTTTGAAGATTTTATCTATGAAGTATTGCTCCGCATACAAAATTGTTCTGAATTGAAATCGGGGAAGCTAACTGGTCATATTTTTGTTCCTGCTTTTGATGAAAGTGATGGAATATTTTTGGTCGGAATGGTTTTTTCTTCTGACAAATTTCGACTTTTTAACTAGCAATTTTTGACTGAGTTGTTTGTCAAGGATTTTGGTGTTCGGAGTTCAAAATTAAACATCTATTTTGCATGTGGTCGATTTTTGCAAATTATAGCGGTTTGAGTGGGACTACTTTGACGGCTAAAATTGTAATTGGGATAATTGTCGCGCAATATATTTCGTCTTATTAAAGCGTAAGCGGCAAATTAAGTCCGTCCATACTGAACTGGGGTGGGGCATCACTTATTTTTGCATAGCTTGTGGGCAAAATCAAAAAAGATTAATGGTAAAAAAAATCAAATTTGTCTCATTTTTTCCAGATCATTTTTGAAGAATTTTTTATTCAAAAAAACTTTTGATAGACCTAAGAGAGCAGTCAGAGCACTCTGGTTTTCACCTTAATACAAAGCCTGTTTAAGCGTCTAAATTTTAAACACTCAATTTTTGATCTGGACCAAAATATTAAGTCTCTTGGTCCAAACTTGTTATCATTTTTTTAGTACCAAAAAACTGCTGCTGACCAATTGAAGGGTAGTCAGAACATTCAGATTTTTGCCCGGATGTCGCTTTACGAGAGCAGCCTTATTTTCTCGTCATGTTGTATATAGGTTTCAAATTTTCATTAAAGTTGCACTAGCGGAAACATTCGTGCGGTTTGTCGTAGATATGGAATATGTGTATCGGCATAAATGGTTATAACATGGTCCGGAAGAAATACCCACTGCTATGAAAATTCCTTGTGACCTCTAAACACAATTGTTTAATGCTCCAAACATACACAGTGAACGCATAATTCGATTTTTTTTGTTCCGACTATTGAAAATGGTAAGGATTGTTCTATTCGGATATGTTTTAGATTTTTCGTTTTTTATTCATTTTGCTAAAAACAGGTACCAAAAATAATCATCGGACTTGTTTTAGTGATATATCATGTTGAAGCCCGAGTTGTGATGGAAGCTTTTAGAAGCTTCATTTAGCGCATCTGTGGCTAAAAAAAAACTTTCAAAAATATTTAAAAATTTTGTGCAAAAAATTGAATTTTTTTTAAAAAAATGTTTATTTACGTTTTGAAGACAATTGGAGTCGTTTCTGCCTGATTTACTAAAACTCTGCGCATTCACATAAGTATCATCACTAGACGCACAAAAAAGACTCTAACTTGAAGAAAAACGTTCTTTTTTTTTCTGAGAATGTGGTCGGAATATTCTGTGCAACTTTCACAGCAAGCAGCTATCCTTGTTATACCTTTTTCTCTATTTGTTTTTATATTTCAATATTGGTGGTCGTTACTTTACTCTGTGCTGTTCTTCTGCAGAGACCTGGATATCAATCTGAGTGGCTCACATGAAGACGAAGAATCAGATGAAGGGAAGGACAAAGAAGAGGGTGAGAATGGGAGTTGGAGTGAGGAGGGGGTGTTCTGTGGGGACCTGGTGTCTCTGTCTCACTGTTGGCCAACACTCACACATAGAGCACTTGCCACTTCTGTTAGTACTACTATGCGATTAAAGAATCAGAAATCGGTCCGATCGCTGCGGTTTCTATATTATTTGGTAGAGACGAAATTTAAACAGTTTCTGAGTCCGAGAATTCGTTTGTATTTGACCCGTGAGCAGACATACCAAGTGCCAGTTCTAACTTAAGGACACTTTGCGTGCTGATAAGATTTTACTGCAGACTAAAGTTGTTCATAAATTGATTCTAATTATGTATGTCATACCGCGATGTATCATCGTGTCAGTTACTGAATCCAAACGGATTGATAAACAAGATCTTTGGCGTAAGCGAGATAAAACAACTGATTCATAAAACCATTTATTGACGTCTGGGTTTTTGCTCATAGAGTTCTCTGGCTCTACGTCTTTACAAGGTCAATCGACCAAACAATTTTTCTCAACGTAGTGAGTTACATATTATACTTTCTGGAAATATGTATAATTTCCCAGTTCTGGTTTGTTAAGTGTGTTGTCTTCCTCGTTGTTGTTTTCGTCTTCCGTTTGTTTCTTCCGTGCCTTTTTTTTTCAATAAATAATATTCCTAAATATTCAATGATTATATTCCTAAATCCTTTGTTATTATGATTATTATTATATCTCCGTCAGGCCTTTTTCGGGGCTGTCCACCGGGGAGATAAGGTCGATGATTTCTGTTTTATCTTGGTGTTTATCCGTATTTTTTGGGCTGATAGGCCTCGAGGAATTTCATGCACGCTTGGCGTTTTGTTTGAGAAACCCATTTCATGGATTAACGATTTAAGGCTTGGCTTTGTGGGTGACGGCGTTTTGTCAGGTGGTGACTCGATGTTGAATTGGTTTTTCTTATTGGCTCCGATTTTCATTGTATCGATCGTATAGATCGGTACGGGATTTCCCAGGGCATTGCCAATGTTGAATGGCGGTTACGTACTGACTTTCTGGTCGGTTCGGCGGGTAGGACACTTGGGGGTGTTTTCTTCTGGTTCAGTCGTTTTGCCGGTCGCACGTTCTTTTGCCTGTTGGCTTGGCTCGTCGCTTCGTTGGACTACTCTGCTGTCCTGCGACCTGCTCTTTCCTGGTGAGTCGCTTGAGGAGACTTGTTGCTGCATCCTCTTTGAACATCGGATGTTGTGGGGCGTTGGATTGTTCGATGTCTAAAAATCATACACAAGGTCCGGATCTCCGCGCGGATTTGTACGCAACGTAATCACTTAGTCTTGAGGGTCTGCAAGGCCCGTATATTAGAGAATTAGGGAGAAATGCAACTCCACTATTCCTTAGTAGTCTGGGTTGTTTCCCAAACCTTTCTACCCACGCAGTTAAAAATTTTCCCGGCGGCGATTGTTTTGTAGTTTTGTTCAGAAGTCTTGGGGTCCTTTACCTATGTAGCTATCCGGATCGTTTTCTGGCTACCTGCTCTATCCGTTTTTTGATGTTTTGTCTTTTGTTTCCTTTGCTCCCTTAAATTTTAAACGTCCTAAATTTAACTTATCCTTAACTAAATCTATGGCTCGTCTAGTTTCCGCTTTTGATGTTTCCTGCTGTTGTGGCGGTGATGTGTTCGCAGCTTGAAGAGTTGTGGGTAGTGTCGTGCGTCGCTTTATTGTAACTCCGACCATCTTTGTAAATCGTGCATGATTTCCACTGGTAGAGGCGATTTTTTGAGGTGGTCCAATCTAAACATGCGTGTTTTGCATTTCCCAAGTTAGGTTGCTGCTGGGAGAGCTTACTAGCAACTTGTTGCTAAGTTGGAAAAGGGAGTATTCGGTTTTTTGTTCATGTGTGCTTCGAACGGTGAAGTTTTAGTTTTTGCGTGTGTTGTAATACGTAGTCTTATTAAAATTTCGGCTGCATCCGAAGTAGTTTTATACGGTGAGTTGTTTTTGTCTACTCTCATTACCGCTAATCTACATTTTAATGTTTGAATCAATGTTTCTACCACCCTATCGCTCTATGGTCGTCTACCGGTGCAAAGAGTAGTTTGATGTATTTTGTTCTACAAAACGGTTGGATTTTTTGGCCCTAAATGTTTGTGCTTGGTCACATCTTAACTGTCGCGGTATCCCATTGTTTGAGATATACCGTTGCATGAATTTTATGACAATATCTGTCGTTGTGTTTGCTACAACTTTTGCGGCGGAGAGTTTTGACCATTTATCTATCGCAACAAAAAAGTAAGTGTCCTTATTTAGTTCATCAGGGAGGGGCCCGGCGAAATCTAGCTGTACTTCTTCATTTGCACCACCGGCTCCATTTGGAACGAGTGTTGTTTTCCTTTTATTGGCTTGAGATTTTACTTTGTTCTGTTAAATGTCGGCAGCTCTCTGCCATCTGGAATATCGAGCGATGTATGTGTGGGAACGACACACGTTGGCACGAATCCAACATGGCTGCTGATCCAGGATGTGTTAAGTGCAGACTGTCTGGTACTGTTTGTCTTAGTTGCGTCGGAATGACGATTTCTTCAGCAATCAGCAAACAGACTTCTCTCACTTGTAGTCGGTTCCAGATGTTGAACCAGTTTTGCCCGTACGAAGTCTTGATCGCTTCCTAGTCTCGTTTTGTTTAAAGTTGATAAGTGGTCGCAAGTTTCTATCTTTCTTGGTGGCGGTGGGGATGAGTACCCTAGTCAATTGTGGCGACGATTCCCTCTATGATCAGGTTGGGGCTGGTCTCTAGTTGCGTTTGTTGCGTATTCGTCATGGTGGGAGATTTGAGATTCGGTTTGAGTTCTTCTTACCTGCATTGAGTTGGATCCACGCAGCTTACGTAACATTCATATGTCTCATGTGCTTCTATGAAAAGTTCGAATTGAGTGGCTGCTGTCATCGTGATTTCCTCTGTTTGCACTGCTTGTGTAGCATCTTCCTTAAGCGTTGATGTTGAATGTTAGGTATCTGTGATTGGTGGGTTGTCGCTAAAAACAAGTCGGGAAGTTTGGTTTTTTTTTGGGTTGTGATATGAGGAGTTCTAGTGCGTCTTTAAATCATGTTGGTGGAGCGATAGTGATTGATTTCGGTTTCCTTGTGGCTGTTTTGCGCTTGTGCCACTGTGGATCGGACAAGCTCTTGTCTCTGTCCGATGAGCCCTGCCATGGTATTTCGCTCCTGTCTCGTGTTTCAAGCGTTTTCACATCATCCGGGATGAAACTTTTAAATTTTTCAAGGTCTTTTTGACGACTCATTTTCTCGGAGTTTTTTTGTATTAAGTTGACAGAGTTTTGAGAATTTTGATTTAGATATTTTGTTGACTGGATTTGAGTTGGTTTTGAGCAGAATTGATTTGATTTGAGTGTTTGAGAATGACCGCTTCCTGAATGTTCGAATGTTTGAGTTTTAATTAAAATTTTGAAGTGCTAGTTAGTGTTCTTTTTTTTCTGCGCGCTTTTTGATCAGCCGATATGGTGCTCTGTTCTGATGGGCTAGATTGTTCAGTATGATGTTTTCAATCATTTCAAGATGGTTAATGAATGAATTAACTGATTCTACTACAAATTCTTCATCGTAAGCGCTTGGAGGTATTGCAAGTCCAACCGGATTTCGTGACATATAATCTATTAGTCCCATCTTATTCCCCGCCAAATGTTTGATGTCAAAGTTAAAGGGAATTAGCCGGTCATTCCATCGTGTTTTCCTGCTTTGACTGGTTTTTGATCTTTTGCTTGCGTTTAATGCGCTGATTAAAGCTTGATGATCTGTGCTGACGGTAAAGTGTTTTCCGTATAGATAATATTTAAAAAGTGCGATGGCCCAAACTACCTCGAGTAACTCTAGCTCGTTAACAGGATAATTTTCTTCTGGAGAATTTAGAAAACATGAAGCACAAGCTATGGCCACCCAGCGTTCTGGGGAATACTGCTACAAAGCTGCCCCTAAACGTGACGTCGATGCTTCGCATACCATGCGGGTATCCAGGTTTTGGTCAAAGTGTTTGTTTGAGTTGTTTCTGAAATTAGCCTTAGGATATTACTGAATGCCGTATTGTGTTCGAATTTCCATTCAATTTTTTTTTGTGTTTCTTAGTTGTGGGCGGAGGGCGGCGGCGGTTTGTGCTAAAATAGGGATGTAACGTGTTAGATTGTAACGTGTTAGATGATGTATATAGCCCATGAAGCTTCTTATTGTTTGAATGTTTTGATGATGTTATTTTTTCAATAGCTTCTGTTTTCTTTATAAGTGGCTTTTTTCCTTCGCTGTTTATGTTGTCTTCTAACCAATCAACTTGTTTGCATGCAAACTTACATTTGTCCAGAGACATTGAGAGCTGTTTTTTGTCTAATTTTGTCAAAACTGCTTGTAGTTTTTTTTATGTAGCTCGAGTGATCCTTTCGTTATTAGCAATATGTTGTCCAGATAGGCGTATGTATTTATACAGTTCGTGAGATTCAGGTCAAAAGCCTTCTGAAATTCGACCGGCATGTCAGTGAGACCGTAAAATCAAGTCTGAAATTAATAAGTCCCGGTGGCGGTGCCTCCGATGAGGCTAAAAACGCATCGTTCTCTGGTTTGTTTGTCCAACGGGATTTGTGAATAAGCTTACCGTAAATCAAGCGTAGAAAGTAACGTTTGTTGAGATTTATTTGATTTTTACTACCTGTGCAATATTTTCCAAAAGGAGATCTATGTTTGGCATTTGGTATTTTTTTGTGGATATATTTGTTAATCTTTTTAGAATCTAGTGCCATCTTAACTGTCGGATCCTTTTTCACGGTTTTAACGATTGAGCTAATAAAAAAATATCAGTCTGAACAGTTGCCTAATTAGATTGTGATTTTGATCGATTAGTTCGTTGAGTTCTTTTTCACCCGTTCTTGCAAATGAATCGGGATTCGGCGCCCTTTTTGTTGAATTGGGTTTGCGCCTTTGCTGAATTGCGTTCGCATTACGTGGTTTTTTGATTTTCCGATTCGTATACACAATT